CTCTCGAAGCACACTTGCTAATTTCTCACTAGTATGAGGAGTAGGAATGTAGAGAAACCTGTGATACACAACATCAAACAAGAGGCGGACCAAAACAATTAGTTAGTGGTTATTGTTAAACACATAAGAAACAAAATGAAAGATTCAAACAACCATTATGTCATATACCTTAGCAAGTGGCTCCTAAGGTTCCACTGATTGTCAACATAATGAGCAATTACAGCCATGTATGCTCTCTTTTGATTACCTGCTGTCCACATGTTAGTGGTGACAGCAATTCGACCCTTGTTGCCAACAATCAACTTTTGCATCTTTTTCCTCTCAATCCCATACATAGCAAGAATGTCACTCTTACAAGTGTTTCTACAAGGAACTTTGAACAAGGGTTGCATATAATTGCAGAATATTTTGAAGTACAAGTGATCCACCATACTGAGTGGATACTCATGCATCAAAATCATAGTAACAAGTTCCTTCCGAGAAACCTCTGCATTAAACTGACCGGTACAGATTTCTTTCCTCCCAAGAACACCATTTGGAAGGAAATTAGTGGCAATATTTTTCTGATGGCCATCATGAATTTGTTTTTGAACACACACTTTTTTATGATTCCTCAAATGAGGTACCATTGCTAGTATCACCACTAAGAACCTTACGACAATATTTGCACTTAGCTTTCATCACACCAGACTTATCAACAAACCTAGTAAAGTGAGGCCAAACATCGCTTTTTAATGGACGTTTGGCCCCAAATGGAAGCGGAGAAGGCTCACCATCATTGACTGGTGCATCACCAGCAGCAGTCACTACATTACCATCATTCACAGCAGCTGCTGCCGGTGCATCACCAGCAATCAATGGTTGCTGCTTCTCGGGTTCGGGGTTGATGAGTGGGGGGTGTGGATTGAGAGTTGGGAAAGTTGCTGAATTCAACACCTTCCATTGCCTCACTTGTTCATCAATCAGGAAAAAGAAAACAAACTAAGTTTAAATCAACTGAAACTAAGAACTAATGACTATTGACTAATACTAATAAGACACCAGACTGTAGAATCGAGTAAATTACCTTTGTAATTAGTTAATGATCAATGAAACAGGGCAGTCAGTAACCTTGCCACCCTACAGAAATCACGAAACAGGGGATGAGTTAAACATGCAAGTATGCAACACGCACTCATAACTCAGAATTTCCCAAATCCACAGAGTAAGGCTACAAGAAGACTTACGGCTTGTGCAGTTGTGCTCCTTGCAGTTCCAGTGACTGGAATTCTCAACAGGGACACGCGGCTACAAGCTTCTAGAGTGGTTTGCCACTTTGCATTCTGTGAATCTGAGATGGAAATTGCCAAAAACAATCAATTAGACTATTTATAAAGGCAAGCATGAAGAAGAAGTGGAAGAGAAAGAGTCGATTAAGGGTAAGTGCAGCTGTAATCGCCATCGGGAATGGCTTGATTCGAAAAAATCGATGGGGTTCAATAGATTAATTGGGTATCTGATCTTTTGAGCAATCAATGTAGGGATTATGGTCGTTTTTTCTCTGCAATCGAAGAGAAAACTGCGAGATTTGAGGAGAAGGGGAAGGGTTTGGCTTGGAGATTGGTATATAAGAAGGAGAATTGGGATACAGGAGGCGGATTTTTCTCGAATGAAGTGGGAAGAACGGGCTAGGGTTCTCTAAATGCGGGTTTCGCGGGTTTAACTGATAATCTCGTACCACATTATAAATAGTGGTCTTAACAGTCACAGGGTCAAGAGTAGGATCAAGGCTTTGAAAGTTTTCATACCAGTACCCAATCAACTCAAGCTTGTATGCAGGATCAAGCACAACAACCATAGTAAGCAACACATGAATATCAGTCCAGTATTTGCTGAACTTGATCCACATTTTTTCAACCATTGCACCAATGATCTCATCAGGACCATAACTTCCAATCATCATTGCTAGGCACAAAAGTATAATTAGGTTCTCTCTGACTCAAACGAGTGAACACATCCGTGTAAGGAATTGCAGATTCAAGCATAGTGAGTGTGGAATTCCACCTAGTAGGGCAGTCTAGTGCAAGTTTGGTATTAATACCAACATCTTTTTGCTTAGCAGTCTCATCAAAGAACTCAACTCTCCGTGGAGTTGCAGTCCAATATACCACACTTTCCCTAATCTTTTCAATCCCATCTTTGATAATTTCAAGCCATCTTTCAGAAAAATAATACCTTATTTTGGCCCGAACTATGACCATATAATCAACTTTGGCCCGTGGTTTCAGAAATTAACATCCTGGCCTCAACTATGCAGCATATAGACTCAGTTGGCCCGACACATAGTTTGACCGTCAATTTGGATGGTCAACTCCGTTGACCGTTAGTCAACACGCCATGTCATTGCCTAGTCAGCCTAAAAATCATTAAAAAAATTATTGATTATCAAATTAACCAAAAATTAAATTATAAAAAACATAATTTTTTTTATTTTTTGGATAATTTGAAAATGATAAATTCTATAAATTAAACAAAAATTATCAAATTACTTTATATTTTTAAACTTCCCAAAAAAATATAATTTATAATAATTTTTTAAATTTATAATTTAATTTGATAATTTTGGTTAATTTATAAAATTTATCATTTTCAAATATCGCAAAAAAATTATTTTATATTTTTAGAATTTTATTTTTTGGTGAATTGGAAAATGATAAATAATAGAAATTAGGAAAATAATTTGAATTTGAATTTTTTTAATGATTTTTATGCTGACTAGGCAATGACATAGCATGTTGACTAACGGTCAACGGAGTTGACCGTCCAAATTGACGGTCAAACTATGTGTCGGGCCAATTGAGTCTATATGCTGCATAGTTGAGGCTAGGATGTTAATTTCTGAACCAACAGGCCAAAGTTGATTATATGGTCATAGTTCGGGCCAAAATAAGGTATTAACCCTTCATAATATGAGTAGAGCATCTCATTTGCAGCAATGAATCATTCATTATGAAGTCAGAAAGAACCATCTTTCTCTTAATCTTATCAATCATGGCATCATTTGTAGAACAATTATCAAGAGTGATAGTGGATAACTTACAATCCACATTCCAAGACATGAGGGCCTCTCAAAGCACACTTGCTAATTTCTCACTAGTATGAGGAGCAGGAACGTAGAGAAACCTGTGATACACAACATGAAACAAGAGGCAGACCAAAAAAATTAGTTTGTGATTATTGTCATAAGAAAAAAAAAGATTCAAACAGCCATTATGGCATATACCTTAGCAAGTGACTCCTAAGGTTCCACTGATTGTCAACATAATGAGCAGTTACAGCCATGTATGCTCTCTTTTGATTACCTGCTATCCACATGTCTGTGGTGACAGCAATTCGACCTTTGTTACCATCAATCAACTTTTGCATCTTTTTCCTCTCAATCCCATACATAGCAAGAATGTCACTCTTACAAGTGTTTCTACAAGGAACTTAGAACAAGGGTTGCAGAGAATTGCAGAATATTTTGAAGTACAAGTGATCCACCATACTGAGTGGATACTCATGCATCAAAATCATAGTAACAAGTTCCTTCCTAGAAACCTCTGCATTAAACTGACCAGTACAGATTTCTCTCCTCCCAAGAACACCAGTTGGAAGGAAATTAGTGGCAATATTTTCTGATGGCCATCATGAATCTGTTTTTGAACACACACATTTTTTATGATTCCTCAAATGAGAGGTACCATTGCTAGTATCACCACCAAAAACCTTACGGCAATATTTGCACTTAGCTTTCATCACACCAGACTTATCAACAAACCTAGTAAAGTGAGGCCAAACATAGCTTTTTAATGGACGTTTGGCCCCAAATGGAAGCGGAGAAGGCTCACCATCATTGACTGGTGCATCGCCAGCAACAGTCACTACATTACCATCATTCAAAGCAGCTGCTGGTGCATCACCAGCAATCAATGGTTGCTGTCGCTCGGGTTCAGGGTTGATGGGTGGGGGTGTGGATTGAGAGTTGGGAGAGTTGTTGAATTCAACACATTCCATTGCCTCACCTGTTCATCAATCAGGGAAAAGAAAACAAACTAAGGTTAAATCGACTGAAACTAAGAACTAATGACTATTGACTAATACTAATAAGACTCCAGACTGTAGAATCGACTAAATTACCTTCGTGATTAGTTAATGATCAATGAATCAGGGCAGTCGGTAACCTTGCAACCCTACAGAAATCACGAAACAGGGGATGAGTTAAACATGCAAGTAAGCAACACGCACTCATAAGTCAGAATTTCCCAAATCCACAGAGTAAGGCTACAAGAAGACTTACGGCTTGTGCAATTGTGCTCCTTGCAGTTCCAGTGACTGGAATTCTCAACAAGGATTACACGCGACTACAAGCTTCGAGAGTGGTTTGCGACTTTGCGTTCTGTGAATCTGAGATGGAAATTGCTAAAACAATCAATTAGACTATTTATAAAGGCAAGCATGAAGAAGAAGGAGCAGATAAAGTTCAAGACGAAGAGAAAGAGTCGATTAAGGGTAAGTGCAGCTGTAATCGCCATCGGGAATGGCTCGATTCGAAAAAATCGATGGGGTTTCGACAGATTGATTGGGTATCTGATCTTTTGAGCAATCAATGTAGGGATTATTGCCTTTTTTCTCTGCAATCGAAGAGAAAACTACGAGATTTGAGGAGAAGGGGAAGGATCGGGCTTGGAGATTGGTATATCAGAGGGAGAATTGGGATACAGGAGGAGGATTTTTCGCGAATGAAGTGGGGGGGGGGGGGGGGGGGGGGGGGGGCTAGGGTTCTCTAAATACAGGTTTCGGAGAGTGTCGCGGCAGATTTTAACAAAACCATCACCGCCTGTCAACCGGCTACAGCAGATTTCGAATTCCCCGAAAACTGTCAACAATCCGGTCAAACGAATTTAACCCGCGAGGAAACGGATCGGGCCCGAACGGGTACCCGGAATTCGGGCCCAGTTGCCAAGCCTAATATGCCGAGACGAAATCGGATTCTGCGTTTACGTCAAAAATCCATCCACGGTCCTCACTTCTCCTCCTCTCCCCAAAGCGCGGTAAAAAATTAAAAGGGATTTCTCCCAATTCGTTCTACAATCTCAATTCGCCAACCCTAGATCATCTAATTTTCCAGCCTGATTAGATAATCTTTGTAGCAAAATCGATCATGGGAGGCCACGGAGGTCTCAACATTCTCCCGCAGAAGCGATGGAATGTCTACAACTTCGACAACAGAGAAAAAGTCCGGAAGGACGAAGAAGCCGCCGCCAAAGAAGAGCAGCTCAAGCGCGAACAGGCCAGGAAGAGGGACACCGAGTTCCGCATCGAGCAGCTCCGTACCGCCCGCGGACTAGCTCCCATCACTAAACCGCCGGCGGAGCCTGCGGCGGTGGGGGCACCTGCGAAGCCTTCTGAACCGGAGGAGGTCAAGGACGACGGACGACACATCAATCTCTTCGAAGGGATCAGGATTTTCGATCCGATCATGAAGCCGGTGGAGAAGGAAGGGAACAGCGAGAGGGATGGTGGTCACAAGAAGAAGAAGATGAAGAAGGAGGAGGTTAGGGTTGTGACGGCGGAGGATGAGAAGTATCGATTGGGATATGGCCTAGCCGGGAAAGGAGTTAAGTTGCCGTGGTATCTGGAGAAGCGGAAGGGAAAGGTGGAGGAAGATGAAGATTCCCCGAGCGGTAAGAAGGATATGGAGAGGAAGAAGAGCGGGAAGAAGACGGTGGAAGAGTTGAGGGAGGAAAGGTTGAAGAGGGAGAAACGTGAGAAGGAGAGGCAAAGAGCTGTTTTAGCCGAGCAGAGTCGCAGAGATGGAGGGTTCTCTAGGAGGTGAGACTGATTTTCCTTCATTATCATGTTAGTTGCAGAATTGGCCATTGTGTACTGCGTAGTCTTATGCCTGTAACTAGCAGGAATTCCCCATCTCAATGGCAGCATCACGTATACATAAACTATTCAACCTGGTGTTCTTAATTAGTATATAGACTTGAATTGGTTCGTTACTTGATTAGTTGAAATCTTGCCTCTCATGGATTATCTTGCTTGATTTCAGCTTTGTGACATCACCAAAAGCCTGAGGCATATCTATGTGACTATGTTGGGAATAGTATAGAAATTTGAGTTATTGGGACCAATGGTTCTTGAAAATATGCAATTCCATGATAATTTTATGGAATCGGAACCTTGTCATCCTAGTTCAGGTAGTGTTGTGTAGGAGTTTTTGATATTGATTCGTTCAGCAGCTCATATTATACATGGCCATAGGGGTCGGATATTGTGAAACTTTGGGATGTATGAACTTGAGCATGCTAGAACCTTGTGGAGGGGACAATTGCAATTCCGTCTTGGGCGGAACACTGATGCAAGACTTGAGACAATGTGGAGGACCGATGATGGATTCAGCTTGTGTTGTTTAGAGAGAGAGAGAGAGACAGAGAGAGAGAGAGATCATTCGGGATGTATCCGATCATTTTGGATCCAGTTGTCCATTGTTCTCTGGTTTAGTACTTGTCCTGTAGAATCTGTTGTTCTCTGAGAGCTGGAGGTATCTGCGATTATGCAGCACAACCATGTCATCCTAGTTCATGTAGTGCTGCTTAAGAATGTGAAAGTGCACAACATGATTTGAAGACTCACCGCTCTTTATCTTCTACATGAAAAGCATTTGATGATTCTTTCTATCTTCGCAGGAGGTAAAGCTCATGTGCTACATGGTCGCAGCTGGGTGTTTGCCTGAATTCAAGTATGGCATGCCTCATCTCGGAGCTCTCTGCTACGCTTCTACTGCGCAGCTAGCTAGTCCCCTCTCCCCTGCCTTGCTTACAAAGCTGAACAGCGAGGCCATTGGCTTGATGTCATCTTTTGCAGCAACTCTGCCATAATCACTTCCTTGGTGGGAAAACTAGTGCTGCTCCTAACAATTTCGGTGGGTGGCCGGTTTTGGTTTCGGATGGAATGGAATGGAATGCTGTTGTATACGTCAATGACTCTGATGTCCTGTCTGTTGTTGAATCCAGATATGGGTAGCTGGTGAGTTGTGACCAATAGCCGTGGATGTTTGTTTGCGGGGGGTTTAAATTAGTAGTTGAACTTGGAAAATTGTCAATGCATGTTGAAAGGCGACCCTTCTCAAGGACAAATCATCAAATTTCAATGTATATTATAATCTTCTTTTAAAATTCGACTGTAATTATTCCCACTCCTACGTCATATATATCATTATCGTTATGAGTTATGATCGAGTTGGATTCAAATGTTGATCTCAGTAGTCGAATCGAATATTGTTTTGATATTGTTCGATCCAAACACCAATTTGGTTCCTCTATTGGTGAATCGAATATCAACACCCAGATAGGCAAAGTGGTATTGCTTTTTTCGGGTTATCTATAACGTGTACTCTGACAAAGTACAGCTGAGGTAGTTATCCAGAAACAAAAAAAAAATGTCTTACCTAGAATACAAATTCGTCCATGCCTCAGTAATTCGCACCCATATCTTTGTCTTGCAGAGAAGCACTTATTTATAAGAACGGATGGGAGGCAGATAAGACCAAAAAGAACATGAAACCCACAAAATCCAACTTCAGAGCAACCCCTGATGCTCTACTGCTGCTTGGCATATAATGGTGGTGGCCTTAACGTGCCAGCTTGAGTTTAGTGAGGCAGATTAGAAAATACATACAAGCTGACAACACCGAGTTGTTAACCTGCTTAGAACACTATAAAAAGGGTGACAACCCCATGTTTAATCACTTGATTAAACAAATCCAATTAATCAATTCATGATCATCTTAAGTGACAAGCATGGCGTTGAACTTTAATCTTGTTCTGAATATTTTAAACTGTGTTTTAGTAATCTGTCACTTTAAGTGGAGCATATAAATTGCAGTCTGTAGGTGGCTTGGGTTTCAGTTTCATCGAGAGAGAGAGAGAGAGAGAGAGAGAGAGAGAGAGAGAGAGAGAGAGAGAGAGAGCTCAGGTCTGGTGTTTTGGCTCTGCAGATTGCAGCAATGGTGACATTCTCCAACAGTTCACTCATGTACTTGGAAGATTTGAGTTTCCCCAGGGTAATAATCTTTATGGGTTTTTTTTTTTCTTTCTAGAACTTATTTTATTTCCGCGATTCTCAAATCCTGGCTCCGTCTAACCTTGTGAGTACAGATTCAGGTAGTAGTGGTGACAGCGAGCATGGCTTGCTCCCAGTGTCGCCAAAGAGTCTCCCGTCTCCTTTGCCGAATGTCTTCAGGTTCGGTTAAAATGATTTACATGCTTTTAGCGACGAGTAGGGGTTTTTTTCGTCATTAATTCTCACGGAGGGAATGTTGCTGTTGCTTGCAGGTTTGATAGAGTACACGGTGGATGTAAGAGGGAAGCAAGTTATTTTCAAGGGGGAAACAGAAACTCTGGGCGGAAATGAGTATCACAGAAATAGTGACGGAATAAAGGAAAATCGTCGCTATCACCTAAAGTGGTTCTCGTTGGTTTCGTCATTTCTCCTCTTCACTTGCTGCGTCTCCACCAGAAGGAAAAGCTACGGCTGCTGATAATTGAAGTTCCCCCATCTTCAATTTCCATCCTTACTGCTCTTCTCGTCTTAGATTGTATCTTCTTTAAGAATTCCCCTGGCATTTTCGTTTAATCTGCTTTTTGTTTGTGTTTTGGGTTGTTTTAATCGTCCAGAATATACTTATTCATGTATATTTTATACATTGAGATCGTTTTTAATTCACCAAGTTACATACTAATATATGTAATCTTGAAATAAGACCGGCTTTACTTGTTTAACTCATAATCATGAGAGAATGTAATAGTCAAACTACATTAATTCGATTATTATTAGAACCGAATCGGATCAATCATTGTTTAGTAGAACTACTAAATCAGTTACAATAGCGATTCGGTTAATGTGATTGAACAGTTAGTGATGGATTCAACAGTTTTTTTACGAGTTGACATTAAATCAGATAAACCACCACAGTTTAATTAGTTCACTGGTTTACGGTAAAATAAGATTATCCAATCTAAAAAAACATTTTATTTATGCTTCATTTTCTTCATTTTCCAACCCGTATCAGGTGTATGTTGCTCACTGCGAATTGCAACACAAGTGACTAGGGGTGAAAATCGGTACGGTATCGGTATCCGAATACCAAATACGAAATCCCGAATACTGAATTACACCCTGAAATCAATCCCAATCCCAATCCCAATCCCTAAATAATTTCGGTATCCCAATCCCCAAATATTTTGGTATCCCAATCGGTATTATCAAATATAAAATTAATTACGTTTGTCATTAATAATTAAATATATAAATTAAATTTTATTGTTTAATTTAGGGCAAAGAGACTAAGCAAAGAGTCTTAAGTTGCCTAGAGCTAACATCTCAAGTTTTTGTGATTGGTAATCTTTAATTTGATGAATTTGAGATTGAGAGACGACTAATACTAATGTGAAATAGTGATGTAATGATCTATGTATAATTAAATGACACTCTTGGTGGTTGAGGGTCACGTAGTAGTGAATGAGAGAGTCTAGTTGAGAGGATAAAATACACACTAGCTTATATTTCGGTACTGATCGCCATTTCGGTATATACAGATCCCAATTCCGTAATCCCTAACACTGAATAGCAATTGAAACTCAATCCCAATCTCAATCCCACAAAATAATACGTGTATTCGGTAATACCAAATATAGACAAATTCGGTACGGTATTCGGTATATCCCAAATACCGGTACCAAACTTCCAGCCCTACAAGTGACTACTAACTTGAATTTAATAATTTTTTTTATTTCTTTAATTCTATAGTTTGAATCTTTTGTTGGAACTTTTTGGTGATAAATGATATGAATTCGAATTTGTTCAGAATTAGTAATAACTTCACTCCTAAGTTAGTGTATTATATATGTATTTTATGTTATAGTGTATAAACGGTTTAGTCAACGATTAATCATTAAATCATCAACCACTAACTTGACCGATTCAGCATTGTGTGCGTATATGAAAACATTCATCAATTCCGATTAGTGGGCTTCTAGAATCAATGTTACTATTGACTCAGCATGAGTTATGGGGCCCAAGTATATATTCAGCCCACTATTTAAGACTATATAAAAACTGGGTTGAAAGCTGAGAAGGCACAAGAGGCTGTCACCTGTCCAATACCACTACAATAATTTCTATATTACAATCTTGCCATTCACAGAATTCCAGAACAGTCTGTCTTGCATGTCGATTGGGGCCTCTGATAGCTGCCCTACCGTTTCCCCGTTACTAGGGATGGCAATAAAATCCGGACCCGCGGGTACCCGCCCGACCCGACCCGGTCAAACCGGGTAAAATCCGTGTTGACTGGGTTCGGGTTGGGTTCGGGTTAAAACCCGGTGGCTGGCTGGGCGGGTTGGGTCGGGTTCGGGTTTGGGGGAACCCGACCCGTGGATACCCGGATATAGGTAAAACCCTAATATCTCTAATGTGGCATTAAGTGAGTCAGTCGACCTCCTCCAACCCCAAATTTTGGCCGCCACTAAACCTCCCAGTAGAGTGCAGAGAGGAGCAGCACGCCGCCACCAAATCCTCCCGTCTCCATTCCCGTCGCCGCCCGAATTGGGATCCCGTCTCCATTCCAGTCGCCGCTCGCACTCCCCCTGCTACTCCTCTGCTCTGCGCCTCCAAGTCCCCACCTCCCCGCCAGGCGCCGACGGCCGACGTTCGAATCCATACCGCGCCGCCCTCCCCCTGCTACTCTACTCCGCGCCTCCACATCGCCGCCTCCCGCCGACTCCAGTCCTGCTGCCCTTCAGTCCCGCCGCCCTCCTCCTTTTCCTCTGCTCTGCGCGTAGTCTCCACATCCCGCCAACGCCGACGGTCCACACCCGCCGCCCTCCTCCTGCTTCCTCTGCTCCGACCCTTCCCCTGGTGGGTGTAAGTGAACTTGTTTTTTTTTTTTTGCTGTGTGAACTTGTTTGATAATGTGTGAACTTGTTTTGTTGCTCCGACCCTTCCTCTGATACTGTGTGAACTTGTTTGATAATGACTGTATGCTAATCTTCCTTTCTTTTCTCATTATGAAGTCTTTTCCTTCAAGAGTCTGGAACTTGAAAGTTTCTGTGGCAGTATTTGTACAAGGCTAAGAAATGATCCAAAGTTTTGTCCTTTGTGCCCATGTATTAATCTGCTGTCCAAGAGCCCCTAGTATACCATCTTTTTCCGACCAAAACATTGCTACTATGCTGATGGGGTTGGAGTTGGGGCGAGCTAACAGTATCTGTTGTGCTGCATAATTTCGTGATTTCAATTTTATTGAATTCGTCCAACAATATATTTGCAAGTAATGTTCTTATCTGTATTGTATGTAGTGAATGAGATAACAACACCATATAATTTAATGATATATATCCCACTATGATATTTGTTTGTGTGTAGTGCTTGAAATGGCTTCAAATGCCTCAGAAGCTGGAAGTCCAATTGTTAGTGGAGGTGATGAGACCATTGGTACTACTTCTACACATACTGGGGGATCCCAGTCTGAGCTTCCCAATCCCACTAATGATAGTGGTAATGGTGCTGCTGCAGCACCTACTGGTGTAATGGAGAGTGAACGACCAACACGTTCTAATGATACTGATATTCTTGATTCAAGTGGGCTTAAGAGTGATGTTTGGCCGCATTTCAAGAGGATTTTGAAAGATGGGGTTGTCAGAGCCGAATGCATACGATGTAAGAATATCAGTATCATTAGATGGCTTGGAAACAATTGATAAGCTCATGACTTATGCCACTGTTAATGATGATCTAGATCCAGATTGTGCTTCATGTGTTACCGGTATATATACTATTTTAAGCAATATATCTTCTTTAAGAAATTCATCTTCCTTTTGTTGAGACATGTCTAATTTTGGTCTACCTAATTGTGTAGAATGAAGTTCATATTGTGACGCGGAAAGTGAAGCGAAGATGATAATGTTCTAGTTCTCAAGGAGGAAGAAACTTCAATTAATTTGGTTGTTTATGGATAATTTTTGACTTTCTTGAATTTTTTAGATTGATGTTGAACAATTTGTATGGATAGTGTGTGATTTGTTTGAATTTTCTAGAATGGTATGTTTAAGTATGGATAGTTTGTGTTACGAGATTGATGCTTAATTTTCTAGAATGGTATGTTAATTGTTATTTTAATTTTTTTATCAAAAAACTCACGGGTACCCACGAACCCGTGGATACCCAGCGGGTTAGGTTGGGTTTGAGTTTTTCAAACCCAGCGAATTTTACCCCTGGTTTTTTTGCCGGATAAACCCAGCGGGTTGGGTATGGATTTGGCAAAACCCACCCCAACCCGACCCATTGCCATCCCTACCGTCACCTATTCCGTCCGCCACCACTGCTCCCGGAGCCGCCCTTGCTCGGATTTCAACGGCCGTTCCGCATACACAACTCCCCGTCATGGAGCCTATTTGCATGGCCTTCTGTATCACAAAAGATAAACCCAAAATAAATATATTCAAACAACAGAAACAATTGATATGAAGATTGAAAAGAACATATCAAACAATATATATATATATATATATATGGTGGCTTCTATAGTACCCCGGGTGAAATCCGGGGTACCGCATACCTCGAGTATGGAAACTCTATCTAGACCTCGAATTACCAGGATTTTTGTGTCTGATATTATACCCTAACCCTTAATGAGTGAAACGTAGGTCATAACTATCTAAATCATAATCTATAAACCCTAAGATGGTGCATTCCTTTTTGTGCCTATATTTGGATGAATCATAACCGTCGATTATTGTTTCTAATTAAATTGATCTTGGATTATAAGATTGGGAGAGTTAACACCTAGATTTTGATCTTTAAGTGTTAGAGTATAGTATCATGTCCGAAAGATAGGTCAATTAAAGGTCTAGATAGTGTTTGCATACTCAAGGTATGCGGTACCCCGGATTTCACCCAAGGTACCGTAGAACTCGCCATATATATATATATAGGCAGTTCTAGGGTGCCCAGGGCAAAATCCGGGGTACGGGTAACCGGGGGCAAGGAAAATTACCAAAAGTATCACGAAGCGTTTAAGCGTTGTTCATTGGACTTCAATCTAACTGTACCCGGTTTAATTATATCGATTAAGAGGTTAAACCCTATGGATACGACCCGCCGCCCTAACCAATTTCTAGTCCCTCATTCGTCTTGGAGGGGACGTCCCCTCTTAGTTCGAAGTTCGAACATAATCCTTTTATCATCGTTTCTGAAATCTTAAATCTCAAATCCTTTTATCATTTGATCGAATGTATCATTTGATCGACATTCGATTTAGCTCCCAATCCAATATCAAATCCCCAACATCATCATGTTTTGAACCCCAAATCTATGTATCCACGTTCGAAGAGAAGATCCCTTTTCAATCTAAAATCCCCACATAATCATCATTATGAACCACAAATCCTTGTATCCACAATCGACGTTTTGTTCTTCGCCATTTTATTTCCGACCGGAATCTAAAATCTCCACATAATCATCATTTCCTTGTATCCACAATCGACGTTTTGTTCTTCGCCATTTTATTTCCGACTGGAATTTACACAAATTGAAGATGAAATAAGCAACACAGTCTTCGACCTAATTGAGGAAGAAGATGAAGAAGACAGAATTTGATTCGAATCAGATGGAGAGGTCGCCTTAACTTGTGTTTATGTATTAACGGTGCGTTTAGGACAAAGTCTAGTTGGGCTTTTAAATTCCCTTCAAAAGTGGGCTTGTGTACATGATCCGGATTGTGAAGAGGTTGGGCTTTTATTTACATCTGCGTCTGCTTCTGCTTCTGCTTCTGCTTCTAAATGCTGATCATGTCTTGCGTTCATGCAATTTAAACACAATTATGTGTTCCATCTTTTTTTTGGGATTCGGTAAATGGTAGCGTGTCTATTTACACATTTATCGGTACGAGGTAAAAAACAATCCGCCCAATTTAACTCTTTATTAATTGCCCCTATTCCACTCTCTCACTGTTTGCCCCTCTTGACATAACAAACCTCTTGTAGACTAATTAGAGGCGTGTGGTTAGATACTTAGTGAGGACATTTTTTGAATTTATGTTTTGAAACGAAAGTTAGAATTTCGCTTTTGAAGTACTTGTGTACTTTACTTGGGCAAGTATTTTCAAAATGTAAAATTTTATCAGCGTATAGGTATGCGATTATTGTATAAGGTGTTTATGGTTAAGTTAATGATTACTAACTGGTTAGTGTATTAGGTTGTTGATGATTTAGAGTATATGGTTTAGAGTATATGGTATATGGGATGGTTTATAAGGTGTTGAATTGTTGATGGTCCAGAGCATATTGTATTGATTGATTCGGCTGAGGGTAGGTGTTGTTTTATTTTTCTCGATTTTATATTGTCTTAACATCTTCTTATAAATGCTGATCATGCCTTATTATCAGGAAATTTAGACATAATTATTGTAGCGTGTCTCTTTACACATTTATCGGTACGAGAAAAAATGATTTGGTGTGTGCAAAGTAGGTTCTCATTAACGATTTTGCCATGTTGGTTATCCCGCCCATTAGCGATTCGCCACATATGGAATCAAAATTAGTTAGAGTTCTTAACTTCATCTTTCTTCATTTATTCTTTGACTTGAACCAACACGTCTTTGCTCCGAAGGATTTTGGGTGGTAGTGGCGTGCTAAAGACAATCCGTCCAATTTAACTCTTCGTTAATTCCCCCTTTTCTTTTCTTTTTTGGTAGAATAATTACCCCTTTTCCACTCTCTCAGTCCTCGCCGAAGTTGAAACAATCCCCTGTGATATATTTATCGTTCATTTTAACCCTTCACTTAATAAGAAAGCAAAATTATGCAAAATGGTCATCAATGTGATGTAGCTTAATTGGTTAATTGTCCGTTATTTGCTTAGTCAATAAAGTAGAGGTTTGTGGTTCGATACTTAGTGAGTATCAATTTTTAATTTATGTTTTGAAAAGCAAGTTATAATTTTAATTTATCAGCGTATAGGTATACGATATTGTATAAGGTGTTGATGGTTTAGAGTACATGGTATTGGGTTAGTGTATTGATCATCTCCATCCCTAAAATACGATATTGTATAAGGTGTTGATGGTTTAGAGTATATGGTATTGGGTTAGTGTATTGATCATCTTCATCCCTAAAATTGAACAACAATTTCTAAACGAGGTCCCTACCGCCACATCATCAATTTTAGCAATTCATCACTTATCAATTTCTATTCATCTACATCCCTAAATTATGCTAGCAATTGCCAAGGTGGGTTCCATTTTATATTTCAAAGGAAACACTTATTATAAATTGAAAGTTGGGGATGGAGATAGAAGAAGGTGTTGTTGGTATACAGTATAAGGTCTTGAAGGTTATGGTATAAGGGAGGAGCAAGGTGTTGATGGTTTAAAGTATATATGTTATTGATTGGTTACGGTATAAGCCTATAAGGTGTTGTTATTGTTGTAGAGTATATGGTATTGATTGGTTCGTGTATTAGGGTTTGGTTTAGGGTTTAGGGTTTAGGGTTATGATTCAAGTTAGAATAACATAAACCAGATCAATAGAGTAATGTTGGTAAACGAAAAAGTTGGTTAATCTACAAATTCAGACTATTTATAAAAGCACATCCCCATTTCCCACCGTCAATTCCTAAACTTTTCCCTTAATCCGATGGTGAAATACCTTCGATCCTTGTCGCGTGCGTGTCACCCAATCAGATATTGCCGAATTCGGAAAGTTTCTTTTGCCCATAACCAATGCTGGCGTTACCAAGGCCGAGGCAGTGGTAGGGAGTGTAATTTTCAGTAAATGTGAAGGGAGGGAAATTAAAAGTAATTACGAGTCAATCTTTAAATTTGTTAATCAGTGAAGGAGAGACCGTGCTCCGAAACCCGAGTGGCACTCATCTCCTGCTGCTGTTCGTTCCTCCTCCTCTCAATCCCTGAAAAGAACCCTTTCTTCCATCTTCTCAATATGAAACTCCGAAAATCAACCCCATCCGCCTCTTCGTCCTCCTATCCCATGCTTTATTTTCGGGTGCAGTGGTAATGATGAGACTGCGTATTATTTTAGATCTCATTTCCTTTCATTATGTCATTGTTAGATCATGACTGTTAAACTAAATCCTTCGTTGTATTGTTTCTCCTTTTCTCTCCATGCAGGGTCTTTGTTAGAGGCAGGGAGGGGAGCAATGACAATAAGTCGCCGTCTGAATATCGCCGAAAGAATCATCACATGTTGTTGCGATTCCATAATATGTGTTGTGGAACCCTACTTCATGTGGTGGTTCTTTTGTGCGATATTGATGCGTACTTGTTGATCATGCTCCCAAAATGTATACAAGATAGAAAAGTTGCCATATGTATAATAGGATAAAATAGGGAGGGAAAGTACAGCTTTTTGTTTTTGTTGGACTATATGTAACATTTGTTTATATTTGTATACTGTTTTGTTATTTTTTCTTCTGCTTCTCTCTTCGCTTCCATGGCGGCTTCCAAAAGTGTTTGAGATCTTCTAAATCTGCGAGGGATCCTCCACTCCCAATAAAAATACTGTACTTTGTACTATTAGCGTTTGAGATCTTCTAAATCTGCAGGGGATCCTACACTCCCAATAAAAATATTGTACTTTGTACTATTAGCGTTTGAGATCTTCTAAATCTGCAGGGGATCCTACACTCCCAATAAAAATACTGTACTTTATTTGTTGACTACTGACTCCAACCGGATTTTTTGCCG